TGTTGTGGGGGGGGGGGGGGATGTGCGGAAATGTGTAAATTTTGTTTTTGATAAAAGATGTACAAGGTTTGTATGTAGGCAGTAAAACTTATATGGAAATCATGCTTAAATAAAATTAAAATTTATACTCTTAAACCTTCTTTCTTGAATAAAACTTTATGTTTTAGTCAATTATTCATACAATTTCATTTCTATATACAAATCATGTACGAATTTTTACAGAATCAATGAGACTAAAAAATATCGTTAGACAGGTGGCCATTTGGGAATACAGTCCAAAAGATTCAACACAAAGTGAGACAAAAGAGTATATAGAAAGAAAACGTAAGAAGAAGCCATCAATCCATACATACTATAAGAAGGTTATGAGTTTATGAATTTTTAATTTTATTTAAGCATGATTTTCATATGGATTTTAGGCTTTAATGTAATTAAATAAGTTTAAGAGTTCTTCATACTCTTAAACCTTCTTTCTTGAATAAAACTTTATGTTTTAGTCAATTCTTTATAATTTCATTTCTATATACAAACAATGTACGGATCTTTACAGAATCAATGGGACTAAAAAGTACCGTTAGGCACAGGCATTTGGGAATACAGTCCAAAAGATTCAACAAAGTGAGGCATATGAGTATACAGAAAGAAAACGTAAGAAGAAGTCATCAATCCATACATACTGTAAGAAGGTTATGAGTTTAAGAATTTTTAATTTTATTTAAGCATGAATTCCATATGAATTTTAATTTTTAATATTTTAATAAGGCTTAATAGTAAAACAATCTCTACGTTTGACACTTCTTATGGAAAAAGTCCTTACATTTCAATTTTTTTTGTGTTTTCATCCCTAATTCCATTTTTCATTGCAGAAAACGTTATTTTCACCAATTGGAAACATAGGGGCATTTTGCACACTATAAGCCAAACGTAGGGATATTTGTGCCATTAGGTCTTTTAATAATTATTTGAATTCACTTGTACTGTTTAAAATATTTAGGAGTAAGATTGTAATTTATTCTTTATTTTCTTTTTCTTTTTCTTTTTTGTTCCATTTCAATGGGAGGATATTTTGGTCATTTTACATTAAAAATAATGAAAATGACGTTTTCTGTAATGAAATATTGAAATAATGGCGAAAATGTCAAAAAATAAAAGATATGGACGTTTTGCACAATAACATTGAAAGGTGGGACCTTTTGTGCTAATTACCCGGTAAATTAATTATTGATTTTGATTTAAATTAAAATTAATATATTTCACGTGGATCTTTTTCCAACACCAATGAATGTGGTGTAGCTAGTATGTTGATAATTTTAGATTTGAACCAAGACAACCGATCTATTTAAGTTTCGTTCTCGTATCTTGAGTTAAGCCCTGATCTCAAATTTCTATTCAAGTTTTAATATTTTTGATGATGTATCAATGACAAATGATTACAAACAATTATAAAAACAAAACGATAAAGAAAAGTAATCATCAATCCACAACCCCTCTTTCTTCTAAAGCCATCCACTACAATCCATCCTTTCATCACCCCTATAATATTTCCCACTTTTTTTAATTCGTCGTTCTTCTACAAACATAAGTGCGAAAAAAATAAAACACCCATATGTCCTCGACTTAGACAATAGAGAAACTATTTATGAAAGATCAAATTCTATAAAAATTGAAAGCTAGAAAGAGCCGGTGCTACACAATATTAGTTGATCGAGAACCAAAATAAACACTTTATGCAAATGTTGGAATCTCCAATGCCAATTTTTCTGTCGAACCTTATCTAAGGACATCGAATATCTAGTTACTCCCAATATTATCAACATTTCTACCTAAATGTAATGCTACACGCCTAAAGAGGCACTTGGCACTTGAAGAACTGTTATGTGTCCTGAAATCTAATGTCAAATGTCTTCCCATTACTTGATAATTCTGGAAGTAGTAATGGCTAAAATCATTACTCTTCAAATAAATTAAGGCTAAAACCACAATAGCATCTCCACATAGCTTCAACCACCGCACTAAATACTAATACAACACCTCCAATTTCTACCTTTCACATTTACACCATGGCCCTATAAATCTTTGTATAAATATACACAGAAACTTAATGTCTTGAGTACCTAGTCAAGAAATCAGTCCATCTTAACCATCTTAAGTTAGTTGCAAAAAAATATGGCATCCCAGCTGAAGGTTACCGCTCCATTCGTTAGTTTATTCCTTGTGTATTTGGTCGGATGGGCAAATGCGGCTGGAGAATGTGGTCGTACGCCGATAAATGCGGCGGCCGCTAGCCTGAGCCCGTGCCTTGGTGCGGCTTCTAATGTTAGGGCAAAAGTGTCTACAGCATGTTGCACCAAAGTTAATGCATTGATAAAGAGTGCTCCTAGGTGCCTTTGCACCATCCTCCTATCGCCTCTTGCAAAAAAAGCGGGTATCAAACCAGCTATAGCCATCACTGTTCCAAAGAGATGCAACATCAAGAGTCGACCTGCTGGAAAAAAATGTGGCCGTAAGTATTCAGTCATATCTAGTTTAACGTGTGAAATATATCAATTCAACTTCTTTCAATTGGTTAAGGATCGCTATTTTCACAGTTGAGGTCAAGGGTTCAAGAATTGATACCTTCATCCGCTCCCCTCCCCTCCACTCCACTCCACTCCACTGTTAAAAGTAAAGTACCAAATATGTCCTCAAAACCTATTAAAATATTTTCAGGTATATATAATTATTAATTTATTGATGAATCACTGTGGGACTAACTATTTGTACTATATGCATTGCAGGATATACCGTCCCATAAATTTGAGGCTCAAATGGACTTGGGAGGATAGTTTTGTTGCAAGCATTCACAAATAATGGTTTCTTATGTAGGAGGGTCCTACGCTGTTTTAGTGACCCCAAATTAAAATAAACTATATTTTCATGTTTTGCATTGTAATCATGTTTT